TGTACAGTAAGGCAGGTGGGGTATGTATCACGCCCAAAGAGGTGCACTTCAGGAGGGCGTCTCGCCCAATGCGTCTCACTGTTTTGGCTAGTTTGAGCTGCTGCAGCTGAGAGCAATATGCGAAGGTGCCCCCTAGAATTTCACTGATTTCAGTCTGCGAAATGTCCACTGCCTGCAACCTGATGCAGTGTTCACATGCAGCTGGCCCCATCCAGTTAAAGTCTGCCGGCAGAGTTAGCAACTCTAGTCCTGCCTCCAAGAAACAACCCTCTGGTATGATCCGATGCACTTCACGCGGATCATGTTCGATTCTCTCAAAATTGAGTTTCTGCAGAGTGCGGCATTTTTCGAAGGCTCGGGTATGGAACCGCGCTTGCGGCGCAAGCTGATTGCCTGTTTGGCTTTGGTCCCCAACTTGGGCTAGAGCGTAGCATTCCTCGAAAACCCAGCTCCCAAAGTATCTGCACTCTGGGGCAGTGACGGTGTGGAGTACATAACATCGACGGAAGACGCCATCTTTCAGGCAGACTACTGTACTGGGTAGGTGAACTATTAACAGCCTATTGCAGTGCTGCCAGGCTGCCTCGCCAACGGTGTGTATTCCGGCTTCGACTTGCACATGTCTCACATCGATCATGTGTGTGAAGGCGTGGGGGAGCACCTGCCCAGTGCGAGTGGGCGGTACTCGGATTGCTTTAGCAATCCTCCTCAGTTGCCCTTTGTGTTCTGCCTGACAAAAGCATTGTCGGACAACGAGGTGAAAATGGTTACAGTCCTTGAGGGTGTCCCAGATGGGATTCGTCAGGATTTGGCCTGTGTCCTTGTGGACGAAGGCAAGCTCACTCCCAAAGGTGCTATGTGCTCCAATGGCCGGGAGCTGCTCGAGGACAGCAGTTTCGAACTCGTCGAGTCGATCAAACTCTTGGAGATCGATAATAACTTGGAGTTCCTCTCCAGATAGGGTTGTCAACAAAAGTTGCAACACCAGCTGGCGCTCATTGCTGACCAGTGAACTCGTTTGCGACCCGGTATCCCCAAACATTGCGGCGCCCTGCACAGCTTCTGCACCGCTTCTACTTGGGACTTGAGCCTGGCTGTGCAAGGGGGCAGCTACTTGGGTAGCCGCCCTTGCTCTCTCTAGCCATGCACATCCCCGATGGCTGTAGTTTAGCTTGTTTGGGTAATTGTTCAGGTAGTTAAGGCTAGTTGTAGGTCAGTTGCAGGGGGCAATCCAATCACTGTCCTTTGGTGGGATGTAGTGAAGCCACTTTGGGGTGGCTAGCTTACCACACTCTTCAAAGGCATTGTTGGCGGCATAGGGGTATCGCCATGCCTCTGACTTATTCCTAGCACACTCCAGGTGAGAAAGCTCAGTACAGTTGCCAAAAGCCCTATACCCTATGTAGCGAATGCCGCCCGGAAGCAGCAGGCTACCCAGGGCTCTGCAACCTGCGAAGGCTTCTGCTCGGATCTCACGCAGGCAGAAAGGCAGTTTGATTGTTTCCAAACTGTGGCACTGAAAGAACGTGTGCATGTGCAGGGTGTGGATACCCGTGTTCGAGATGTCCACCAGGGTGAGCAATTTACAGCTCTCAAACGCCCGATGGCCAATGTGGCATGCATCACCGCCTAACTCAAATTGTCGAACGCCGCTGGCATAAAAGCTTCCCTGCGGGACTCCAGCCTGTGGGGTGGCTAGCGTAGCACCATCAACCACGGCTCTCACATGGGGCAGTGAGAGATGGGCTAGCTTGGCACATTCCTCAAAGGCATATTGCCCGATGATAGCTCCTCTTGCGATGACAAATTCCATCTATGGTGTTTCCACGCTCCAGCGCACAGCACTCTGAGAATACGCGGACTCCTAGCTCGACACACCCTGGCATTTCGACTATTTGCAGGGAGTAGCATCCCTGAAAGGCTGCATAGCCTATGGCTACTACTGCTGGGGGAAGTAAATTAGCCCCAGAGAATTTGAGGGTTTTGGAGGCCAGATTCAGCTTCTGCAGTCCTTCTTCTTTTCTGCAAATGAAGCTTCAAACATGGCTCATCGGAGGGTGAATAACAGATACTATCAAGACACAAGGGTGTGTCAGCTACTTTTTTTGGCAACTCTGATGGAGGAGGTTGGAGTTCCTTGAAAACAAAAGACGGTGCATAGAGGTTCTACATAGTTGGAGATCAGCCTCGTCTGAGATCCACCTGTAGGCCTTGATCGGCGACTTGAGGTTCTACATACAATAGTTAAAGATCAGCCCAGTTCCCTGCCCCTAGTTCTCTGTCCCCAGTTCCAGTTCCCTCCCCCCAGTTCCAGTTCCCTGTCCCAAGTTCCCTGTCCCCAGTTTGCTGCCCCCAGTTCCCTGCCCGCCAGTTCCCTGTCCCAGTCCCCTGCCCCCACTTCCCTGTCCCCAGTTTGCTGCCCCCAGTTCCCTGCCAGTTCCCTGTCCCAGTTCCCTGCCCCCAGTTCCCTGTCCCCACTTCTCTGTCCCAAGTTCCCTGTCCCCAGTTTGCTGCCCCCAGTTCCCTGCCCCCCACTTCCCT